TCCTGGGGGAGGGCTGCGGCCCGGCGCCGCCCCCCTGACCCCTGCCCATGGCCCCGCGGTGACATTTGACCTCGCAGCGGCCAGAGACTGGGACAAAGGGCCTGGGCCCATCTGCTGTGGGGCCCCGTGGGAACAGCCAGACCCTGCTCTGGAGGCCTGGGAGCCTGCCCCCTCTGCCTACAGGCGACCTTGGCCCCCAGCGCTCATCCACCGGCAACCCGGTGGGCCTGGGGCTTGAGATCACTCTTGGGCTCTGGAGAGTAAGGGGGGCAAGAGGGAGGCTGCCCTCCCCCCTAAGCAAGGTGCCCTGCCTCAGTTTCCCCGCTTTCTTCGAAACCGTCCAGGGTCCAGAGACAGTGTGCGGGGTCAGGAGGCCACCAGGCCCTGAGCTCGCCGGAGAAGACTGTGTCCCGGCTTCCTGCTGCCCCTCAGGTTGGAGGACGGGGCTCTAGTCCAGGCCGATCACAGGCCGGGTGGCGTGGTCCTCCGCGGGGCCAGCACAGGCGGGGCCCCGAGTGACCACCCCCACACCGGAGACAAAGGTTTTCTTAATCCTCCTCTTGGGTTTCAGCCACCACCAGGGAAGGGACAGCTGGCCACTGATCCTGAGTTCCCAGGCCCCTTTCCCACCCCCTCAGCCCGCCAGGAGTGCAGGGGCAGGGCCTGTGCAAATGGCATGCTCATCATCTGCCTGCTGCTAGCCTGGCAAAGACCCCCGCCCGCCGCTCCTGGCCCCCAAGAGAAGGGGGAGCTTCTCAGACCGGACCAGATGCCCAGGCGTCATGCCCTGGCACGAACCCTGCATCCCTCTCAAAGCTACCCAAGGTCCAAGCTGCCACCTTTGCTGTGCCTGGTCCCACCCGCAAACTCTTCACATCGCTGTTATTATTATCAGTATATGTTTTTTGAGACATGGGCTCGCTCTGTCGCCCAGGCTGGAGTGCCATCACAGCTCACTGCAGCCTTCTGGTCTCAGGCGATCCTTCTGCCTCAGCCTCCCCAGTAACTGGGGTTGCCTGTGTGTGCCACCGCACTGGGCTAGTTTTGTTTTGTTTTGCTTTTGGTAGAGATGAGACCTCGATGTGTTGCCCAGCTTGGTCTCGAACTCCCGGCCTCAGGGACTTCTCCCACCTCTGCCTCCCAAGTAGCTGGGATGGCAGGCTCCATCATGCCCAGTCCAGAAACCCTTTACTTCAGCTTCAAGCTAGGAGCCAGTGCTGGCCCACACCCTGAACCTGGACTATCCAGCCTCAGTCTCCCCTCTGGGATACGAACATCTGCTGGGCTGAACCCCGCAGGCCCCTGGGAAGGGGCGGGGAGGGGATGTGTGTCCCTGTGGCCCCTCCCTGGGCCTCTGGACAGAGGAGAGCTGGAACATCAGTGTGCCTGTGTGACCTCACAGTCCTCGAGTCACCCGTCCCGAGGACCAGCCCCAACAGCTCTAGTGGCTTCCGGCCTGACCCTCCTGCCGTGTCACGTCCACACCCCTCAAAGCCACTGAGTCTGTCTCAAACGCCCAGCCACTCTCAGCAGGCCCCGGACACCCAGTGCACCCAGCCCCCACCGCCCCTAAAGCTCCCACATCACAGTCACACCGCATGACACGACGTCCCTCTGGGACAGTTTATGGCATGCCCTGCCTGGACTGTCACATCCAGACTCTCTGGGCATGGGGCTACAGGAATGTCTCCCCGAGGCGGGGAGGCCTGGCCTTTCCCTGGGCCCTCGCGGCGGCCTCCAGCCCCACCAGCTCCTCGGCCTGCCAGGTCTGCATCCTCCCCGCCTGCTCCTCCAGCCTCCGGAGCTGTTCCTCCTGCTTCTGGTGGGCCGCTCTGAAGGCCAGGACCAGGGCGCTGTGGGAGGGTGGTGGGGTCAGGACACAGCCGCACGCGCCGGCCGCAGGGGTGCTTGCAGAGCGGGCCTTTCTGGGGTCCTGGCGTCCCCCCGCAGGGCTGGCCCACATCAGGCATCGGGGCAGGGTGGGGTGGATGGGACGTGCCCGCCGAGCTGACGGAGGAAACTGAGACCCAGAGTGGGCGTGGCGAGATGCAGGGCAGGCCCACCTGTGAGCTTTGCACAGGTCGCTGCTCAGCTCCGCACTCTGGGCCCGGCGAGCGCGTCCTTTCTGAACCGCCTGTGCCAGCTCCTCCCGCCGCTCCTGCAGCTGTTCCCGCAGGTCCCGGGCCCTGATGGGATGGGGACAGGGCTTGAGGCCAAGACGAGCCTGTCCCCCTCCACCCACGGTTCCTCAGGTGAACACACCGGTACACAGGCGCACCCCTGGGTACTGCCCACATGACGCCCCGGCCCCCAGCTTGGCCCCAGCACACACCTGGCCAGCGACGCTGCCAGCTCCTGGGCCAGCTTCTCAGGGTCCCACCCTCTGCCCACTGGGTCTCCACCAGTGCCACCAGGGACCACAGGAGGGCCCTAGGGAGCGGAAGAGAAGGAAATGGCATTAGTCTAGGTCTGGTGTGCCTGGCCCAAGCTGGATTTTTGTTACTTTATTTTTTGCTTTGTTTTAGTTGGAGTCTAATTCTGTCGCCCAGGCTGGAGTGTAGGGGCATGCTCATGGCCACCGCGGCCTCGACCCGCTAGGCTCCGGCGATCCTTCCCCTCAGCCTTCCAAGTAGCTGGAACTGCAGTCACGCGCTACCACGCCCGGCTAATTTTTTTTGATTTATTGTAGACACGAGGTCTCGCCAAGTTGCCCAGGCAGGTCTCGAAACCGTGGGCTCAGGCAACCCACTCACCTCAGCCTCCCAAAGTGCGGGATTACAGCCTGAGCCACCAAGCCCGGTTTTTTGTTTTTTTTTTTGAGTTTGAGTCTCACTCTGTCGCCCAGACTGGAGGGCAGCGGCCGCTCCCAGCCACCGCAGCCTCAACCTGCTGGGCTCTGGCGATCCTTCCGCCTCAGCCTTCCAAGTAGTTGGAACTACAGGCGCGCGCTACCGTGCCCGGCTAATTATATTTTTAAAAATTATTTATTGTAGAGACGAGGTCTCGCCAAGTTGCCCATGCTGGTCTTGAACCCATAGGTTCAGGCAATCCTCTCGCCTCGGCCTCCCAAAATGCTGGGATTGCAGGCTTTAGCCACCATGCCCGGCCTATTATTTTATTTTTGAGTCCAGGTCTCACTCTGCCACCCAAACTGGAGTGCAGTGGCACAATCATGGCTCACCGCAGCCTCAACTTCCTGGGTTCAGGTGATCCTCCCTCCTCAGCCTCCTGAGTAGCTGGGACCACAGTAAGTGTGCCACCATGCCTGGCTAATTCTTTGATTTTTCTGTAGAGACCAGCCCAGGCTGGTTTTGAACTCCTGGGCTCAAGCCATCCCCAGCCTCCCTACTTGTTGGTATTACAGGGGTGAGCCACCGCACCCAACCCCAGCTTGACACTGAAGCTGCCCAAATGGTGACAGCTGCTGCCCTCTCAGAGCCCCCCGTCTTGTGAGATCCCCCAATAAGAATAAAATCACAGCCAGTGCAGTGTGGCTCACGCCTGTCATCCCAGCACTTTGGGAGGCAGAGGCAAGAGGATTGCCTGAACCCAGGGTTTCAAGACCACCCTGGGCCACTTGGCAAGACCTTGTCTCTACAATAAATCCAAAAAATTAGCCGGGTGTGGTGGTGCTGCCTGTAGTTCCAGCCACTTGGAAGGCTGAGGCGGAAGGATCACCTGAGTCCAGCAGGTCGAGCCTGCGGTGGCCGTGAGTGTGCCACTGCACTCCAGCCTGGGCGACACAATGAAACTCCAACTCAAAACAAACAAACAAACAAAAAAAACCGATTAGGGACATAAATAACAAAGGACTTCATCTGAAGGTAGTCCGGGAGGACTTCCTCAAGGAGGTGATGTCCAAACTCAGACCTGCAGTAGGTCGAGGACTTTATTCCAGACAGAGGGAAGTGGCCAGTGTTCCTGGCAGGGGCACAGCACCTGCAAAGGCTCAAAGATGGCAGAGACGATTCAAAGAGCTGCATTCAGACAGCTGGACTTTGAGGGTTCTGGAAGCCACTGAAGGCTTTGAGCAGAGAACAGACATGCCCAGACAGGAAGGGGGGAAGGGAAGGCCTCAAGCAGGAACCTGGTGCCAGAGTCTAGGAGGTGAGGCCGGGGCTGTTGGGGTGGAAGGGGGAAGTATAGACAGGCCTGGGTGAGGAGCGAAATCATGGGTTTCCGTGGAAGACGCTGAACCCCTTGGGGCTTAATGGGCTTAACAGCCTCAAAGAAAGAAGCCCCTAAGAAACAAATCAATAAGTATTAAGTTAAAAGTCTGGGGCCAGGGGCAGTGGTTCACATCTGCAATCCCAGCACTTTGGGATTATACGTTGAAAGATGGAGGTGAAAAGATTGCCTCAGAGATTTGAGACCAGCCTGGGCAACCTCATCTCTACAATCTGTCAAAAAAAATTAGCTGGGTGTGGTGGCACTCACCTGTGGTTTCAGCTACTTGGAAGGCTGAGGCAGAAAGATCACCTGAGCCCAGCAGGTCGAGGCTGCAGTGGCTGTGAGTGTGTCCCTGCACTACAGACTGGGTGACAGAGTGAGGCTCTGACTCAAAAAAAAGAAAAAGAAAAGGAAAAGAAAAATGTCTGGGCATAGTGGCTCATGCCCATGATCCCAGTACTCTGGGAGGCCAAGGGAGAGGATCACTTAAGCCTGGGCAGCATAGTAAGACTCCATCTCCACACACACAAAAAAGAAACCCCAATGTGCATGTGTGAATTTTGACATGAAGCTTAACTACCACGGGTGCCAAAAACATGTATACACATTTTCAGAGATGTTATCTGTGTGTTACTTTTAGTTTGCTATCATCAGAAGCATCTGGATGCTGATGGGAACCATTTTGAGCACCTATTGTCATTGCAAAAGTCAAACATGGCTTGTATTAATCTTTTATTGTTGGTGTATATTGATTATTACAACTTTAATACAGTTATTTTTCTTTTTCTTTTTTTTTCTTGAGTTAGAGTCTCACTCTGTCACCCAGACTGGAGTACAATGGCCGCTCCCGGCCACCGCAGCCTCGACCTGCTGGGCTCCGGTGATCCTTCTGCCTCAGCCTTCCAAGTAGCTGGAACTACAGGTGCGCGCTACCACGCCTGGCTAATTTTTGATTTGTTGTAGAGATGAGGTCTCGTCAAGTTGCCCAGGCAGGTCTCAAACCAGCGGGCTCAGGCAATCCACTCACCTTGGCCTCCCAAAGTGCTGGGATTACAGGCTGAGCCACTGAGCCCGGCCCAGTTTTTTTTTTTTCTTAAAATGTGTGTACTTTTTTTTTGAGTTGGAGTATCACTCTGTCACCCAGGCTGGAGTGCAGTATCACACTCATGGCCACCCCAGTGTCAACCTGCTGGACTCCAGCAATCCTTCCACCTCAGCCTTCCGAGTAGCTGAAATGACAGGTGCACGCTACCATGCCTGGCTAATTTTTTTTTTTTTTGAGTTGGAGTCACTCTGTTGCCCAGACTGGAGTGCAGTGGCCGCTCCCGGCCACCGCAGCCTCGACCTGCTGGGCTCCGGCGATCCTTCCGCCTCAGCCTTCCGAGTAGCCGGAACTACAGGCGCGCGCTACCGCGCCCGGCTGATTTTTTGATTTATGGTAGAGATGAGGTTTCGCTGCCCAGGCGGGTCTCAAACCCGCGGGCTCAGGCAATCCACTCACCTCAGCCTCCCAAAGGCACGGGATGACAGGCTGAGCCACCGAGCCTGGCTAATTTTTTATTTATTGTAGACACAAGGTCTCTCCAAGTTGCCTAGGCTGGTCTCAAACACATGGGCTCAGACAATCCACTCACCTCAGCCTCCCAAAGTGCTGGGATGACAGGCTGAGCCACCGAGCCCAGCTCCTTTTTTTTTTTTTTTTTTTTTTGACTCAGAGATTCACTCTGTTGCCCAGGCTGGAGTGCAGTGGCACGCTCACAGCCACAGCTGCCTCGACCATCTGGGCTCAGGTGATCCTTCCTTCTCAGTCTTCCAAGTACTTGGAACTACAGGCACCTGCCACCACACCCAGCTAATTTTTTGACTTATAGAGACAAGGTCTCGCCAAGTTGCCCAGGCTGGTTTTGAACCCCTGGGCTCAGGCAGCCCTCTTGCCTCTGCCTCCCAAAGTGCTGGGATGACAGGCGTGAGCCATTGCGCCCAGCCAAAATGCATATACTTTTTTGGCACCCTCTGTATATGACTTGCTTCTTTGTGCAGAAGCAGAAACTGAGGCTCAGGGAGCTGTGACTGGCCGGGGACACACAGGCAGTCATATGCTGCCATCCCTGCGGGGTCCCAAAGGGCTGCTTACCTGGGACCACTCCTCCTCGTCCCCGCTGGTTGCGCCGCCACTGCTGCCCCCGCCGCTGCCGTCCGCAGCTGCCATCCCGAGCTGCGCCTGCTCCCACCGCAGCTGCTCCAGCAGGAGCAGGTAAGCCGGGCCCTGGGCTCGGAGGGCAGCCTCCCGCAGCTCAAGGCCTCGCTTCTCCCACCGCACCAGCTGTAGCTGCAGCGTCAGGTCCACCAGAGTCTCCTGAGAGGGCAGAGAATGTGTGCCCCGGCGTCAGCTGCTGGGGAAACTGAGTCCAGTCAGGCAAAATGCTCATCTTCACCAACGTCATGAGAGGTGGACGGGCCTTCCTCTCAGAAAAGCTACAGCTGCAGAAATGGCAGTTCTAAGAGGGCAAGGATCTCAGTGGAGGCGTCCGAAGCTTCTCAAATCCTAGAACCTCACGTCTTTCTTGCCAGGCTGCAAACCTCAGATTATGTTCCTTGCCCCATCTCTTCCCACAGGAAGGGCATTTTGGAAAGCCACATTCGGAATCTAATGAGAAACTGAATCCAAGAGGACCAACTCCTATTCACCCCTCAAAATCCTGGCTTCGATTCTCCTTCCTCCAGGAAGACTGCCCCCAGTCCAGGAGAACTCCCCTTTGCCTCTTGGTTCCCCCAGTCATATCCCTCTCAGCCTCAGCAAAGGGTTTTGTCCCACCAGGAGTGACTGGTATAGTGGCCGCAGCCCATTTGTACCCGCGTGGCCACCAGGTCCTGCTGAATCTGCCTCTTCTCCAGCTGGGGCAGGGCTGGGCCAGGCTGGGTCTCCAGAATGGCCTGCACCATTGCTTCTACCCGGGGCACAGTGGGCACAGGTGCCAAGATGGGGCCGGGCTCTGGGGGAATCTTCACCAGAGCACGGCGCTCCTGGAGACGCTGGGCACAGCCTCGGAGCTGGATGGCCACCTCCTGTGGTGTGGACTTAGCCACGCTGCTGCCCTTGGGGCTATAGGAAACAAGAGGTCCATGTCAACACGGGCGGGCATAGCTGGGCTAAGTTCACACCAACCCTGGTAGGCTCCATCATCTTCCATCTCACTGACCAGGGGATCATGACAGGCACTGTCATCCAACATGGTGGGCCCCATAATGTACGCCCCAATGGGCACCATCTTCCTCAAGACAACATGGTGGACACCATCACACCAACCCAATGGGTGCCATCGTTTATTCCAACATGGCAGACACCATCATGCCAACCCAACAGGCACCGCTCCTCATGCCAACATAGTGTACAGTATCACACCAACCCAACAGGCACCCTTTCTCATTCCAACAGGGCAGACACCATCACACTAACACATGAGCGCCACTGCACATGCCAACATGGTAGACAATATCACACCAACCCAATGGCCATTGTTGCCTGTGCCGTCATGGCAGACAATATCATGCCAACCCAATGGGTGTCACTGTTCATGTCATCATGGTGGACACTATCACTGCAACTCAATGGGCACCATCATCACCCAGACAGCCCTGTCTGCAGCATCAGGCCAACCCCACTGGGCACCATCATACAGCTGGGTTTTTTTTTTCGAGTTAGAGTCTCACTCTGTCGCCCAGACTGGAGTGCAGTGGCATGCTTCTGGCCACCTCTGGGCTCCGGCGATCCTTCAGCCTCAGCCTTCCAAGTAGCTGGAACTACGGGTGTGTGCTACCACACCCAGCTGATTTTTTAATTTATTGTAGAGATGAGGTCTCGCCGAGCTGCCCAGGTGGGTCTCGAACCCGCGGGCTCAGGCAATCCACTCACCTCGGCCTCCCAAAGCGTGGGATTACAGGTTGAT